AAGAAAGAAAGTAAAATCACTGGCTATTTAGATACCTTTGATCCATCGTGCGACCATCGAGCACCATAGCCTTCATGCACACGAATCTCGAAGACACGACCATGGGTTGGAATATCATAGACATTCATCCAGCAACATTCGTTTAGCAAACGGCGGACAATCTCCAAAGCAAGCCTATTCTTTTCAGAATCTGAAAAACCATGCGTAGAAAGCAAAGCATAAGAAATCTGATAAAGGACAGAAAAGAAGCTTCTAGAATTTGTAGCGGTTACATAAAAGAAGTTTCTAGAATGTTACATACCACCTCCACGAAAGCTGCCCCACCATCCTTCACTGCTCCTGTGAGTATGCTTGGCCAGTGATCTTGCAGCATCAGTAAGGGTAGAACCTTCAGACTGGAGAAAAGAATGATATGTGAGATCACATCTTCGCTGCTACATATAAAGCCCAAGGGTTACATACATAGCACCAAAAACTATCAATATAACGTATAGCACACCCAAATTTTAATATTTGCATTTCAAACACCTACTATCACGACGTTAAACTAGCTCACCATAAGAAATGGGATCGTGGCACGTGTACAAAGGTCTTTGGAACTCCCTTTTGTCTCCTTCTACAAGCTCTTAAATCCCCTCATTCCTAGGTCTTGTCTTAGATCCCATTTTTCTGCTTCTGCCAAGCACATACAAACTCTTAAATCTAGTTTCTCCTCCATTTTGGTTTGGTCTTCGTTCGTCATGATGCTTCCGAAACGGTAAAGCGGCTTGGTAATTTATTCCCTCGTCCGCGGGCTCATCAGGCTTATCATACATTCCAATCCTTCTTGTCCTTATAATTAGTCAAAGCTCAAAACCATTCCTGCTTTATACATTTAGTCATCTTGTAATCTCCGATTGAGGACACAGAAGAAGAGTAGATAAAACGAGAAATAAGGCCCGGGAGAAGTAAAAGCTCAACTGAACTCCGGTCACCGGTAAAGACCTGCAACAGGCTAGCAAGAATACAGAAAAAGTGAAGAAAGGTATCGAGAGGAAAGGCAGCCATATATGCTCCGTATAATAATTCCATTTTAAGGAATAGTAACCAATATAATACATACACACACACATACATATATATATATATATATATATAT